CTCGCAGAACTTGCAGCTGGGACAAATCGGCAACGCCGATCAAATGCCACGCTATGCAAATGGATAGTGGACGCTTGGGCAAGCATCCCAGAGGACCTTGTGCGTCGTTCCTTTAAAAAGTGCGGCATCTCTAATGCCCTCGATGGCACAGAAGACGAGCACCTATTTGACGATTTGCCCAACAAGGAAATGTCCGAGGAAAGTGCAGTTGAAGACGACAGCGATTGATATTGCGGATGTGTGCTGAATAAATGTGTTTTCGGTTACCTTTCTTACGTCGTCTTATGCGCGGGTACAAAACTTTTTTTTCATTTTGCGCCTCTAAAATTTGGCCTCATATTATATTCGTGTTTGTATTATACACGGGTACTTACGGTACATTTATTCACAGGACATCCGTCAATAATTGAAATAATAAGTTATGTGCATCTGCACTCGTTTGCCTTGCAGCGAGTCAATCATTTCGCACGAAGCTTGCAAAGTATATCTACTTCGGCTTCAGTATTCTTCTGGCCAGAGAAGATGCGTGCGGCTATGTCCAGCGCCGACACTCTCTGAAAACGACGACCGCATCTCCGCTACTTCCCTCTGCACTAAAGCCGCAGTGCGGCCAGCATGTGACGAGAAAGGAGGAGAGTCTCCACGGGGAGAGAAGCAGATCGGCATTTGACAAAAAGCAACACTCCACGGCAGCTTTCTTTTTTTTTTGCTATCTTCGCGTGCGTTGTTGAAATGTGACACCTAAACTTGGCTGCCTTAATGCACCATCAGAATTACCAAATTACCGGGCATTTTCGCCCATCGGAATACACATAGCTTTGACAGGATTTCATCGTGAGTTCGGATTAAGCGTGTTCGAATTAATGAGATTCGGCTGTACTACGTAGTTGAAAGCCAGCACTACCTGTGTTCTTGTTTTCTTGTTTCTAGTTATCACGAGCTTTCTATGGGGAATTATAAAGGCAACATCATGGTAACCTGGACATAATGCCAGCAGAACGCCATTGATACTAAATAATAATAAATATGAAGATGACCATAAAACTTCTCAGAATATCAAACATGCATGGGAGTTTGCATGGGCGGGGGCACTACTTCTTCATTCTTCAAGGAACTTGAGTGATGAGGTAGTATTTGTTATCTAAGGCAAATTATCTGTACTTTGATTCCACGTTTGATTCGTTGTTTCAAGCAAGATGCTTTGTTCGCAAAGTTTCGTGGTGAAAGATGTCGTGGGATACGCCGGTACCACATTTTCAGCGCATTCTGGCCGATCTCCCAGACTTATGTACATTGTTGAACCTTTTACCGAAGCATCGTTCTTGACGGAAACAATACTTTTATTGTTTTGTATTACTACTATATGCATCTCTTAGAGTTTGTACGAGTGCTAGCTTTGTGTCTTATCAAGATTCATGATCGAAATGTGTCGCAAGACTGGAAAGGCAGCTTAGAAAACAGGGTGGGAAGGACAGGACACTCAGAAAGAGAATGCACACGTCACTGGCTCAACAATATTTTTTGTGTCTTTTTCATGCTGTTTTCTAAGCATGTACAACCAACAAGTCCAGTTCTCAGCACTTCTAGAAGCACAGAGGAGGATGACACACACGCACTTAAGGGGGGACGCGCCCTTTGAAAACCGAAAAATCGCGAAAAAGTCGATTTTTTGAAAACCACATACTCGGGCAGTATGACTCATAAACTGCCTCTACTGTAAATATCAATGTCTAATTCATCGCGAAAGTACGTCAAATAAATTTTATAACATGCCGCGGCAGCCGGCAAGCGGCGAGCGAGCGCCAAAAATACCCCAACTTCGCGCGCTCGCCATTTCCCAACCGCTCGGCCGATCGCCGCCATCTTGATGTTGTTTTGCTCGTGAATTCTTGCACTTTTTTTTTTCGCCACCCGCGGCAGGGGCGGTGGCGCTCCGAGGCGGGGGTCGCTCACGATTGGGGGGCTCGCGGAAGCTTTCGAATGTCCCGCTGCCTGGATGCGAAGCCGCGATTGGACAAAACGCGCGCCTCTCGAGGGAATGGGGGAACGCGCGGCTCCTATTGGCTGCTGCGGGCGATGACGTAGCTGCTTCTCCGGCATGCGCCGGCTCGTCGTCTGCACCGGCGCTTGCAATGCCGGCGTTCTTTGTGTGCCCCGTTTCCTATCATTCCGATCGGTCGTCACACGTGCTCCTCTATCTTTCACCGTCTTCACGAGACGATCTTCTACCGTCTTCACGAGACGATCACTACCGTCCTCATGAGACGATCTTCTGCCGTGTTCACGGGACGCGGATTGTTGCGCTGACGGTCACGATGGGCATTTCGAAGTTCAAGACTCGGCACGCGTTCGGTTCAAGAAAGCGTCAGCTGAAGCTCGTACGCATGGCGAAGCTCACCTGCACGCCCACGCGCGGCGACAGTTGCACCGATGCTTCCGCTTCATCTTTTCAAGACGATTGCGTCGATGCTTCTAGCGACGAGACTTCTACACCATCGGCACAAGGATCCGTCGTGACGAGTGAGGCTGGTGTTTCGTGCTCAAGTGCGCCTGGTGTGTCGCGCTCGCCAACCGCATTGATTCCGGCCCCGAACAGTGAGACCGCGTCGTCGACTGTGCACATCCAAACACGTTTTCGGACGTGCGAGGAGTTGGCGACGGCGGAGAGAGAACGTGCTGCTGTGCAACGAAAGCTTGGCGCTATGCCAGCGACCGAGAGGAAGTTTTAAGCGATGATGCCTGAACCCGAAGCTGCCACCGCTACGACCGAAGGCGAGAGATATTTCCTCGTGCAAGGGGATGCCCTTAGCGACATGCTGTCCAAGACCCCGTGCCCGCGCTGCCTCGCGACCGAGATGAAAGTTCAAGGAGGCACCCAGCTTGGACTTGCCACGAAGCTTGAGCTGGTATGTCCACATTGTGGAATAGTTTCAAGTTCGTGGAGCTCTGCTCGTCAGAACGAGTCAAGGGCCTTCGACGTGAATATAAGAGCCATTACGGCCATGAAACAAATAGGGAAGGGACAGACAGCCCTCAACGACTTTTGGGCAACTATGAATGTTTCCCACCGTGGCCTGCACCACAGAACTTTCCAGAGGCACCTGAAGCAATTCAGAGAACCACAGCAACAGACCCTGGATAAATTCTATGGAGAATCGGCTTCTGCTGTGAAAAAGGTGTACAAGGAGATGGACCCATCTTTCTGCAAGGACATTACAGTGAACTATGATGGCACGTGACATAAGCGCGGACATACATCTCACATTGGAGTTGGTGCAATCATCGAGTATCACACAGGCCTCATCTTGGATGCTGTAGTTTTATCGAATCAGTGTCTCGGCTGCCAGGTAGGACCGAAGCCTGAAGACGAGGGCTATGCAAGCTGGTTGAAGCACCATGTGTGCCAAAAAAACACTGATGCCAAGTCTGGGAGGATGGAGGTTGAAGCAGCTGTAACTCTGTTCTCACGTTCACTGTCCAAGCATAACCTCTGGTATACAACCATTGTATCTGATGGGGACAGCGCCACATTCTCTGCCCTTCAACAAGACAATGTTTATGGGCTAGTCCCTATTGTGAAAGAAGAATGCTTGAACCATGTCCGGAAGAGGATGGGCACAGCCCTACGTAATCTTGTGCAGAAAAGCGAACAGGCTCTGGGAGGGAAGGGCAGATTGACAAAAGTCCTTATTGATAAACTCACAGACTATTATGGCTGGGCACTGCGGAACAATTCAAACAATGTGGCTGCAATGCAGCGTGCAGTGATGGCGTCATGTTATCACGTCACCTCAACTGACGAGGATCCTCACCATGACTTGTGCCCGGAAGGTGCAAACTCGTGGTGCCGCCATAATGCCTGCAAGGGGAATGGCGTGCCACCTCCAAAGCACAAATACAATCTTCCGGGCTACGTTGCAGAAGCGCTGCTGCCAGTCTACCAGCGCCTTTCGCAGGCTTCTCTACTGCAACGCTGCCTGGGAGCAAAGACGCAAAATGCATCGGAGTCATTCCATTCTGTCCTATGGTCCTTGATGTCCAAGGAGCAACATGCATCATTGATTGCTGTCGAGACAGCACTGCATGACGCAGTTTTGCGGTATAATGCCGGCTGCTACAGGGCCACCCAAGAGTTGTCGTCATCAGTGGGACTCACACCTGGCCACCTAACCATTCAACGAGCTGGACTTTCTGCGTCTGAGAAAGGCTCAGAAACGGATGAATGAGAAGCAGGAAAAGCGGCAAAGAAAAAGAGAGCCTAAGAACACATCTAGCTACTCTGCAGGGTCATTTTAGACCATAATAAATGTTTGAAACTTTCGAAGTCAATTTTCTCAGAATGACTTTTTTGGCCAGTGAGGCTGCTTAGTGTGGTGGTCTCTCTGGAACTGCTGGTCTTATTTCTATCAGGTTTTCTTTATTATGCACCTTAATAAATTGCCCCGGGCAAGACAAGCCCGCTTTTTCAATTTATTGTGTCTGTAATTTGTAATAATTAACTAAAACTTCATTGATGAGAGCCAAATTGTGAACACTAAATTCAGTGCTCTGCTAACATTTTTGCCCTAAAGCACCTATCCAGGAATCATCATAGTGAATTTCACAGTGCTAGCACATTTTTCAAATTCTCCAGACCCTGACCATGTGGACTACCCTGATAAATGGCTGTAACTTGGGAACTAGTGAACATAACTGCATGAAACTTTGTGGTTATTCAAATGGCTTTGCTATTAGTGTACCCTGAAAATTTCATTAAGATATCTCAACAAACAAAAAAGTTGCCCTTCGAAGGTAGCCTCCCCCCTTAAGTGCTGCACATTCCGAATACTTGTTCTCTGTCCCAAATTTTATTTCCACAGCATATATCAATCGTGAAATAAACCAGCAGCACTGTTCGAATTCGCATTAAAATCTTTCGTTTGGAGTTTCTAAGATACATGTACTAGAAGTTGTGTTTCCTGTCATGCAAATAATGATCCTCAACTGACCGAATTTCCCAGGATGAAGTGGGTTCAAAAGTTTGTCAAGGCCTTATCGAAGCCAAGTCGGAACGACTTGACCCCTCTGCGAGCCAAAGAGGTTTTCAAGCTTCCAGAAGTGGAGTCCCTGTTTGAAAGGTAACGACACCGCTGATGTTTGTCAGTTCTGCCAAAGAAAAGTTACTCGCCCATTTGTCAAGTAGAGATTGTTTATACAGTGGAAACTTGATTGTAAGACTTTGAGGGGACCACACAAAACCGTCGTATAATCCAGGCATCGTTTAATCAAAAAAACTAAAAATACATGCAGCGGCACTCGGTTTTACTTAAAAAACGGGTACAGACCGCCTTAATAAGCCCACAACATGTCAGTGTGCTTCTCCACAAAAGGCAGATTAAATTATTCTTGCCAATAGCAGCATTACTTAGCTCAGGTAGGTGCGAGATAAATTTTATTCTCAGCTTTAAAAATCAAGTACAACATAAGTTTTCCGATCAATTGAGTCGAAAAGCTGCCTGCACGTGAGAACGAAAACGAAACCACGTTGCCTGCAGCTTCCTGCCAGGAGTTTTAGACAGAGTATGATCACCATCTCATAATGGCGACGGACCATATGAGAGATTGCGTAGAAATGCCTTCATGCGCGATTGAGCCATTGTGATTTATTATATTTACTCGCACAATCCTCACACTTTTTTGTTGGAAAACTGATGCAAAGTTGGGGGGTGTCAGAATTACGCGGGGAAAACTTTCCACGAAAACGTACGGAGCGAAAAAGAAAACAAAGTGGCTGCGAATCGGGATTCTCACTCCAGCAACTAACAGCAAGCTTTAAGAAGTACTAATTGAAACTTACCTCAACAATAAAAGCACTGGTTCAACACAAGGCAAGATTTATTTGAGACACAAAAAGTGCAAGCAAGTAGTCGAGAATTAGAATACCATATGCAAAGCTTGTGGGCGTCGCGGGCATAGCGGTAGCGTTCGTCTCCCAACAGGAGCCCTGAAAAGGTAAGCGTGGGGCGTTAGTATTGGGCTGATGGCTATTTAACAGAATTGTCCACAGTTTCCTTCTGAAGAAATAAAGTTTACCATCAATGCCAGTTTTAGGCACACAGCAGGCCCAATGCGTCTTGGTGGCTTTCAGCTGCCGTCACCAGTAGTGAACACAAAGCTCGTAGACTCCGGAGGGCCTTGCGGTGGCCCTGTTGCCATTGTTCAGTGCATGATCTGTCACTTTCAACTTGAAAGCAGCCGTGTAGCTTCAGTATTGCCCCATAACGTGACAAGATTACCGACACAACATAGAAAACACGCCGCAACGCGCACTTGCCACTTCGTCTTGGCTTAGATTGGATTGAATCTCCGTGCAATAATAGTATGCTTGATGCTTAAAAGGTAACGCCAGATAGCGTACGCTATCATCATCAGTGGCTGGAACGAGGAGAGGACATTATTGCGGCAGTTTTGAGGGTGCCATAATTACTCGAGGAAAAAAAAGAAATCGTATTTTTGTTGGGCGATGTGGGGGTTGCGAGAATTCTGCAAGTGCGAGGATTACGCGAGTAAATGCGGTATTGCCCGATGAAGTACAAATGGTGATGTCACACTGTTATATAATGAACATTGATGTCAAATGAAAGTTATTTTGCATTGTGAAAATAGCTGCATCGCGCCCTTTCGCGGGCTCAAGCTTGTGTGATAGTTAGTGCCACAAGCCAAGGCAGATTGGCGGTATGTCGACCAGGGAAGGTTTCCACAGATCAAAAACATGAAAACGCAGGATCTCGGAAATTACCTCTTCGGTCAGCTGAATCTACTCTGGACATAGCTTCTCTCGGTGACAACATGTCGTGCACACACAATCGAGGCATATGCAGAAGTGCGTGAACTATTAAGAGAATACATTTTCTATTTTAGGAAGACATTCTGTCTCTATCTTTACTTTTTTTATCATAAATCAAGGGGAACGCAAGTTCATATTTTGCATTTGTCAACGTTCAATGAGAATAAAGGTGGTTTTTAAGTTTGAACGGAATCACAAAGTCGACGCAAGATGCAGGGGTCGGTGTAAAACTGCGCCGTATAACCAAAATATTTAATATATTTTTTTTATGGGTATTTGGCCGGTATCAAACCGATCCGTTGTACAACACAGGTCGTCGCGTATCTGGGGGACGCATGATCCAAGTTCCACTGTAATGTCCCAAACAAATTATGTCTTTACTTTTTGTACACATTTTGCTTTGTCGGCAGGCACAACAGTTGGATTTCTTTTTGTAAGATAATATAATTTGCATGCAGGGCCATGTTGGACTCATGTTTACATACGTGAAGGCTGTTGTCACTACGTTTGAGCACACGATGGAGATGTTTCACATAATGCTTGCTAACTCCACTCAGGGCAATGAATTAAGTGACAGGCTTTCAGAAGTAGTCATGCTGAAAGTCTTGCCGCTTCTGCTAATGAATAGACAACCTTGCGGTCAGTATAAGGGGATGTTATACTCAAACAAGAGCTTATGTTGGAGTGACAGGTAAGTTCTTGATTCTGTCCAAAGTGTCAATATTGTCACGACGCAGACACAGCAGGAGTTCGCTATAGAAGAGCTCACTTTAATTAAAAATGAAAGGCGCTCGGAAAGAGGACCGGGCAAGAGCTTCGTCTTCTTCTCTGGCTGTGTGAGCTCCCCTCTGCAGGTTGAATGTGGCATTTGCCTCCCTCTAGGAAGAGCATCGACCCGATGCTCGGCTACAGAATACGCGGTAGTGGATATACGTCTTTCTTTGTCACGCGGTTCAGCTTGCGGTAGTCCACACAGAAGCGTAAGCTGCCGTCTTTCTTCTTAACTAGCACTACCGGTGATGCCCAAGGGCTTTTTGACGGCTGAATGATGTCATCATTGAGCATTTTCTGCACTTGTTCTTGGATTGCTTTGCGTTCTTTCGGTGCCACGCGGTATGGGTTTTGTCGAATTGGTCTTGCCGTCTCTTCCGTTATAATTCGGTGCTTTGTCAGTGGCGTTTGATTTACCCTCGAGGTCGACGAAAAACAATCTGCAAACTGGCCGAGAATATCTAGAAGACTCTGCCTCTGCGCTGGCGATAAATCTGTGCTCACGTCGACAGGCAGTGGTGTTGAAGCGGCCGGCGTCTCTGCCTGTTGTACTGCGAAGCACTCGCGGAATTCTACAATTTCTTCGAAGTATGCAACTGTGGTACCCTCTGCAATGTGTCGACGCTCGTTGCTGAAGTTTGTCAACAGGACCTCTGCTTGCCCAGACACTACACTGACGAGACTTCTGGCAATAGCGATTCCTCGAGAGAGTAAAAGCGTCGATATTTGTTCCGCGACACCTTCTCCACTGTGCTGCGTGTTACACGTGACAGAGACGATGGCGGCATGACAACGGTGGCATGGTCACGTCGTCAATCACGCGCATGGGCTTGCGCTGCAGCACTGCGCTATGGTCCGCTGAGAAGGTCAGTACACCGTCCGGTATATTTATAATGGCACCGTACTCCCGCAGGAAATCCATACCCAAGATGGCCTGTTTACAACACTCAGCAAGAATAACGAAGGTTGCCACGAATGATGAATCCCCAATCTTGATTCGTGCGGTGCACTTTCCAGTAGGTGTCAGCAGCTGGCCTCCGGCTCCTCTAATTTGCGGCCCCGTCCATTCCATTTTTACCTTCTTGAGTTGGTCGGCCAGATTCGCACTCATTATTGAAAAGTCCGCACCAGTGTCGATCAGTGCGGTCATGTCGTGACCGTCAATTGAAAGTGTAATGTCGGCGGTGACAATCTCGTCTTTCGTCGGTTCATTCGAAATGTGCGGCACTTCATGCGGCGGTAATGGGGGATTTTCAAATCTTCGGCAATTCGCAACCTTCCCCCCTAAGGTCGCTGCTTTTAGTTTCACCCGGCGTGGACTGGGAGACCTTCCTCTCGCCATGTCCGTGGTGCTACCTCTATTAGATCGGGGAAAATGACCTGGGAGGGCGAGCGTGACCGGAACCCAGGAGAAACGTCTCGCGGGATCGTCGCACTCGTTTCAACGTTGCGTCGTTCCGTCAAAATAGCGCCGAGGGGTAGTGGACGGAAATCCTTGAGACCCGGCAACGCGATGAGGACAATACCGCGCACGATGTGGCCTGCTTCCCCACAATGGAAGCACAGGGGCCTGTAGTCAGGGGTACGCCATATGTCGGTTTTGCGGAGTGGGGGTCGCATCGGCGTCGACGTTTTCCTGTAGTACCAAGGCACTGTCGGCGGCTGTTGCTGGTGGTACTGTTGAGGTGGCGGCACGTTAGATCTAGGCTGTCGACGGAGAATATCGCATATGTTGGCCTAACTATTTCAGTGTTCGGCTCGGGAAGTGAAAGCGCTTGCCTTATTTCTTGGCGAACAACTTCTGTGACCGACGCAATCGCGCAGTCATTCGGTGTGGCAGCCAGCTTCTTCACCTCTTCTTGTACAATTTCGCGTATCAGGTCACGCAAAGAACGCTCGTCAGGTGTCACGGTGGTCACGGCGGTTGCGCTGATTTGTCCGCTGTTGTTTGGACGTCGTACTGGGCGGTACCGTAGCTGTAGTGCGCGTTCTATGGCGGTTGCCTCCTTCAAAAATTCGTCGACGCTTGAAGGTGGGTTCCGTACGAGACCAGCAAACAGCTGCTCTTACACCACGCATGAGGTGGCTGATCTTTCTGTTCTCGGACATATCGGGATCGGCTCGATGAAAGAGACGAGCCATGTCCTCAACAAACATTGCAACAGACTCGTTGGGCTTTTGTATCCGTGATTCAAGGAGTCGTTGTGCCTGCTCCCGCCTTTCGGTGTTTGCGAAGGTGTCCAGGAACTTCCGCCGGAACTCGTCCCACGTTGACCACACGCGATTCGGAACCACGTGCGAGCCCCGTCTTGAAGAGGGAAATACACGTACCCCAACTTTTGTGCGGCGTTCCACCCGTTAACGTTGGCTGTGCGCTCGAACTCCTCAAGCCAGTCATCTGCGTCCTCATATGTGTTGCCATGAAAGTCCACAGGAGTTTTAGGGGTGAAAACAGTCACCTGTGTCGTGCTTGGGCTCGTCATGGTGGGGCAACTGCTTCCCGGCGCGGTCATGTTTTCCGTCCAAGGACCGAACTCTGGGCTCAGGCCTAACAGGCGGCGGCTGGCGCGGTGAATGGGTGTTTCGACGAGCGGAAGTCTTTGTGGACTAGATCCCGGGCTGTTGGAAGGTGTCCTGGACATGTACCCAGCACCTCCACCAGTGTCACGACGCAGACACAGCAGGAGTTCGCTATAGAAGAGCTCACTTTAATTAAAAATGAAAGGCGCTCGGAAAAGAGGACCGGGCAAGAGCTTCGTCTTCTTCTCTGGCTTTAATTAAAAATGAAAGGCGCTCGGAAAGAGGACCGGTGAGCTCCCCTCTGCAGGTTGAATGTGGCAATATTATCTACAACAGGGCTTTAGTAATCGTGAAAATGTGGGACACTGTCTACACCACTAGTGACATATTTTAGTACTAGACTGATGGCATAGTAGTCCCTGAATGTCATTCTTCACTATTACGGAATCTATGATTACGTATTTGCAAATAATTATATATTAACGAGGCACTGAACTAGGCTAAATGGTGCTTAGTCAGTACGGATAAAAATAAAATGGTGTAAAGCACTGAAAGTAAGGAGTAGAAAAAGACACCTTTCCCCATTGTTCTGGTCTCCTTGTTTTGTGTGTTTTACAGTGGTTTTTTATCGGTATCCGTTATCAACTATTTGATGTTCTCGACTTGCTTCGAGCAGTGCATTGGGTGCTTGGTGGTGCACTGCGCCTGTTGCGGGAAAAAAAGGTAGACTACACTGGTCTTTTATGTCTTTTATTCACACATGTGCAACCTTGTTGCCAGCATAGGAGAACGTGTATCTATCTGATAGTCATTTCTCTGTGCGGTTTACACTCGGTCATGCTGATACACTTTGATCTGGGCACCAGGATCTCTTGGAAGCAGGAGAAAGGGGCCTCCAGGAACATGAGGCTGAGCTGTACAGTGCCCCAGGAACAAAGGGATCGGGAAGAGAGGCACTTCTCAGCGTCTGGCGTGCTCTTCTACAGGACCACCAAAGGTAAGGGAGGTTCGCTTTCACCCTCGCAGGAGTAGTCACTGTCTGGATCCGAGATGTAGTGTTGGCAGGGACCATGTTATTCTTTCTCTGAGCATGAGTTAGATTGCGAAAGGCAGTGAGTGCTATTCAGGGCAGGCGAAATCCAGGAGCACTTGTAGAGCATCCGCAGCACTTGCAGGCACCAATTAGACCACCGAATATGCGAATTGTTTAAAAGCATTGGCGCTATAGTTGGAAAAGCTAATTATATATACTAACGGACTCACTCAGACTCTGATCTTGCTGTGAGTCAGAGTCCAAGTGTGTAATATTTAGGCAAGTTTGAGCCTGGTTGAGGAAAATTTTGGCGAGTCTGAGTCCAGGTGAGCCCTGAGGGCAAAGTATATTTCACGAGTGAGTTCAAGTAAGTTATACATTTCCTGCCGACCTGTAGTTGAAGGCACAGGTGATAAGCAGGGATGGGTTATATGCAAGAAGTTGCGGTATTCCTTTCTTCTTGTCACTTTTTGCAGAGCCCTGGCATGAAGAGTACAGCACGAGTTCGCAGCGCCGCTACTACTACAACACCATGACGAGGAAGAGCGACTTCGAGATGCCCAAGTACGGGTGCGCTGCTACCTTCAGGGACTGCTTCCAGATTGCCACGCTTTGGTCGTGGACTTCCAACTTGCAGATAATGCCGACCCGAATGCAGTCCGAGGAGTGTCCCAACGACGGCAAGGTTCATCGAACGACGCTCGTCAACTTTGTCAGGAAGAGATTAGGAAAGTGAAACCAGTGAATGGACACCCCTGGAGAATGTACATTGACTCCATGTGCTCGAAGCTCGAGTACTGATAAATGAAAGGGTGGCATGTGATGTGATCCACCTCTCTATTTTCTTTTTGTTTTTACATTTTTGTGTGTATGCAATGTGTGGAAATCAATTCTCGGGGACCTTCAGAAAAATTGGAATGGTCTGGTGCACTGTGGGAAGAGTGCAGGGGTGGTTCAGCAGGCATAGTACGTCATTGACTGCTTTGCCTGTGTTGTGATCACGTGCGTCTGTGTCTGCTGTCCTATAGTTACTACGTTATCTAAGTGCAATACCACTGGATAACATCAGTGTTGCACACAGCCTCAATTTACAGAGGTGATAAAGAATAAGTATCATGGCACTTGACAAAAGCAATAGTTTTTACTGTTAAGGGGAGATGCTACTCGAAAAACAATTTTTTCTTTAATAAGAGTCTGAATTTAACACAAATTGGCATGCTAATAGTGTTTTTTCTCCTCGTTTCAAATATGTCATTTATTTTCATGTAGATTGCTTGGTTTTCTTTCTGCAGGTCAGATACTGCAAAATTATGGCCATTGTTATGCAACAATTCTGACCTATGAAAATTTGAGATAAAGCATGCAGATATAGCTGACTATGATCCTTTGGAACTGTAGAGTGCAAAAAACTATATAAATTTTGTGTGTAAAAAGGTGAAATACAATAATAAAATAGAAAAATTTACTATGGCTCTAGTTGCCAAGGGCTTTCAATGTTATGTAATTTTTGAAAAACATAATCAAGCAGCACTGACAATCTGAATAGATACTTGCACTCTATGGGCCTTCATCATGCTATGTGCAAAATTTCATAGAGGTATGACAATTCTAAGTATACGAACTAGCGTGTATAAGAAGCACAGATCACACAAAACTGCAAAAGGAGAAAAACGCATTTGAAAGTTTGAAACCTTTTTTTTTATCACAGAGTTGTTAGAAATGCATAATCTTTGGCCATAATGTTCAACAGAACTTTGAAAAGCACTGCAAGTTACTAGAACTGTCCTGCAACATAGGTTGTGCCCTCACGGTCCTTGCGAGCACTCTCTTCTAGCCGTGCCCTTTTCACTCCACGACGACGGTGGGCCCTTGCTTCTGCTGTCAGACGCTCGGACATTCTCTTGATGCGCCTCGCATCGCGGGAATCACTGAAAGTAACTAGATCTCTAGATGGCAGTATGTTGAGCTCTTCCAGGATGTGCTCGAAAGTAGCATGACCCTTGTTGAACCACAGGATTGCCATAGCTGCGGCAGTCTCGACAACCGTTCGGGAGACAAACTTAGTCTTGGGGCAAAGCAGCCAAATTTTGCTGTTCAGGGATTCCGATGCGTTCTGGGTTTTCCCTTTGATGCATCGAGCAAGGAGCTTCTCATCCGTTAGCCGCTTATAAATGGGCAAAACAGCCAATCCCTGTGCTTCTGTCAGGAGAGGTGTGTGGCGTGGTGCAGGTTCACCAAGTGCTTCAGCGCGTTGATGTTTGCACCACGACTCTGTTCCTGCAGGGCGAAACTTGTGGCTGCCAGCATTGTCAGTAGAGCATGAGTGGAAGTACGAAGCCCATACTGCAGTGTACATATCCCGTACACTCCCCCTGTTGCTTGTTATGGCAATTTGATAGTATGTTTGGAGCTTCTGAATGGCTGGCTCTTTCATTTTCAGCCCTCGTGGTAATGGTACATGCAGCTTCCGTAGCACGGTGCCAAGTCTCTTGGCCACATGATTAGTGGAGTCTTCTTTTTCTATATTGACAGCACCATAGACTTTTGACTCTGCAACTGCACTATATGCTTTGCTGTCACCGTCACTCAAGAATGTCATGAAATGCAGTGGGGTGTCATAAGTCAATGTTCTCTGCCAAATGCGCATTGCAGCCTCCGTTTCCATGGCATGGGAGGAACAGTCTGCATTTTTTTCACAGACTGAGCATTCGCTGTTTTCGCAATGAAGTTCGAGGAGCGACGAAAGTCCCTTGCGCTTTTCTGCCGGCTCCCGAACGGCAAGTTTTTTGAATACCGCAAGCAGGGCATGCCGCACCTGCCACAAGTGCCGTCAGCAAGAGGGTGTCGCACAAAACTGTCGTTGCACAAACCTCATCGCGCTGTCTTTCGTCTTTTTCGAAGAAGCCGAGCTTCTTTTCCGAAGCACTGACGAAAGAAAGTGCAGCGTCAATCCCTTCATCGCAGCCACTGTCGCTCGCGCACTCATCGATGCCGCCGTCAGGCCTAGCACACGTAGGCGCGTTCTCGTTCGTCGCCGTCGTTCGGGGCGCTTTACGCCGCCTTCACTTGAACTTGTGCTTCGTTCGAAACTTCTGCGGTCTCACGTTGCACTTTTTCGGGCTTGTCATCGCGGAAATATGCGTAGACGTGCAGAAAAGCAGACGGACCAAATGCTGATGGCCGCCACCAACACAGCTGACAATGACTCGGTAGCCAATGGCGATGCGGCTTAGGGTCTCGCGTTTCAAACCGCTCAAACCACGTGATAAAAAGGCCTCGATTTTTATTTTATTTTTTTGCCCACGTACGAAACTGGCGGTCGTCGGAGCTGTCAGAAGAAGGCCGGACGCAACTTTCCCAACTGATCGCGATGGCGGGCAGCACTGCGACGAGGAGCAGCGTGCAGTCAAAGATGGCCAATATCGGGGCAAATTCACGAATTTTTGAGCCACCGCGATGCCTTCATACACATTTTTTTGCATTTTGCGGTTCGAATTTAGTTTTGAAATTTTCACAGATGAAAGAAGAAGGTTTGAAGATTACAATGCAATAAAAATCAGAAATACGAGAAATTTTGCTAAAAACGCAATTTTTCGACTCGCATATCCCCTTAATGAAAAGAAAGATTAGAAGAGTAGTCACGGATACATCAGCTGTGTCATATTTTACATAGAGATATGAAGTGTCTCATGAGAGGCGAAAGAAAAAGGGCATAAGGAAATAAATGGAGAAAACTCACAGGGTCTCTTATACATTCACTTAAGACGACCCGAAGGCATAAGCAATCTTATTTTTTTTCTGGGTAGATGTATTGATCCTGCCTCGCCACCTTTCGAACACATCGTGCATCTAACACGACTTTGCAGTTCCTTCAAGATCAGTGGTCGGACCACTTCTGACCAAACTGCACTGTAATGTAATGACGTCAGAATGATTTCACAAATTGTGGCAGCCTGTGACACCATCATGACGTCATGTGGTGACATCAGCACATAATAATTTTTTTGCATCATTTGTTCCTGACGCCACAAGACGCTGATGCCGCCGAACGTCGACGGTCTAAATTCACATATCATGGGGCATCTAAGGCTTTGGCCTTGAGAAAGTACAGTAGACTCCTTGTAAATGAAACCTGAAGGGACCAGAAAAACGTGTTTCTTTTAAGAGAAGTTTCGTTTATTGAGAGATAAACAGGAGTGTAATATTTAAGTATGAAACCAAACATATTACAGATAGTTGATTCATTTAAGCAGCAATTTCATTTAAGAAAGTTTCGCAGAGTCTGCTGTAGGAAAAAGAAGGGTGAAGAAGTGAATAGATATGTTCAGCGTCCCACACGTGTCAGTGTCTTCGAACGTACTGGTTTGTCGTGGTGTTTAGCTGGGCTTGCAAGTACTTCGAAATGTCTCCCAACTTCCTCTGCGTACTCACTAAGGCTTTCAAGTTGTTATCATGCCAGATCGATGCACTAACTCGCCAGTTGTCACGGTTGCAGCATCGTATTGTTTGCATTGCACTTTAAACCAAGATGACTCCTGTCCCAAACCTGACATTACTACCTATACCCAGTGAGTAGAAGACAGGATTAGGCAGCAATCTTGATAGCTATAGTACTGCATAAAACACATAGCATTGAATGCTGTAGAAGCTATGGAAAAACATCGGTTGTCAAAATGCATGCATATTGCTACATGCATGTGTATTGACATTATAGGGGGCGACGCGCGTGTGTGCCTGACGAGGAAGACGAAGGGTTGTCTCGGCTCGATCGCTGGTGAACCGGGCACGCCATTACCGCTGGTTTGGAATATATTTCATCCCCAGCCTCGTCGTTACGGCGTCTCTTCTTTTCCGTAACACATTTGGTGGAGGTGGAACGTTCCCCGTCTTCACCACGAAGCTTCGCACTGGCCGCACCATTCAGTCTCCGGCCATGGCTACCAATGACAACAGCCTGCCAGCGTCTCCATCTGTAGCTCCAGCCACCACATACCTGACGATGCCCACACCCCGTGATCCAGGTACATTCTCCGCACAACCTGGGCTCGACGTTGACTACTGGCTCCGTATGTACGAGCGTGTTAGCCACACACACCGATGGGACCTTACCATGATGCTCGCCAACGTAATATTTTACTTGGACGGCACCCCACAGGTCTGGTTCGACGCCCATGAGACCGAGCTCACCAGCTGGGATACCTTCAAAGAGCGACTACGTGACATCTTTGGGGACCCGTCCGGTCGCCAAATGGAAGCGCGAAAAGAACTCGCCACTCGTGTGCAGTCGTCAACAGAGTCGTATGTCTCGTACATACAGGATGTGCTCGCGTTGTGCCGAAAAGTCGACGAGCAAATGACAGAGAGTGACAAGGTGGGCCACATACTTAAGGGCATAGCGGACGACGCCTTCAATTTGCTCGTCTACAATAATGTCACGACCGTAGATATGACCATCAAGGAATGCCGTCGCTTCGAAATGGCCAAAAGCCGCCGTGTTCTGCCTCAATTTACGCGGCTACCAAACACGGCTGTTACATCCACTTGCACCGATCTCGGTGCCGCACCACCCATGCAGGACAGCGTGACACGAATAGTTCGACGGGAGCTTGAGGCGTCAAGTCCGGCACCATTTCCTTCACATCCGCTCGACCATGGCGCCGCAGAAACGCCTCCGCCGGTCTCCGTTATTCAAGCCGTCGTAAGGCAGGAAATTGCAAAGCTTGGTTTTCCTGTGGCCTGCTCTGTCTCCCGACCCGTCTCCAGACCAATGACAACAAATGCACCACGCCATGACTTACACTTTATTCCGCGATCCCGCAATCCGGCGGAAAGGAGAACTGCAGACGACAAGCCGATC